TCCGTCACATTCCTCGAAACTCGTAGGATTTTACGATTGGCAATTTAGACTTCCCGTTTCAGAGATACTGATTTTCTAAGTCCTCGAAAAATTGCTGTACGGTAATTTGAACAGTAGCCTTCCATTCTAAATTTTGTCTATGGACGGCTAGATTTTAGGTTGGAGAAGCTTAGAGTCCTTTAGTACTTCGAAAGAGCTTTCTATTCACATTAAGCTTGCATGTATCGGAGTTCTATAAAGAGATATGACGTTACAAAGTTCGTTGCATGAGTTGAGGTCACTGCCGTAGCAAAGTGGTTGTTGGTGAGGTCTTTTTGTGACCCGTAGTGGACGATAGTGTTACCTAGAGTCAAGGTTAGTTGGCGCGTAAATTTGACTTTCGGTTAATACTTCGTTGATAGGATTTGAAGCTTTTAGGATGGCGTAGCTTTCAATTTGAGCTTTTGGTTTTGCACTCCCAAGTGTGTGGTGCTTATCTCGTTTTTGAATTTAGAAACTCATATTTCAAAAGTGGTAAGGATTAAAAAGCATATTTATTACATAAAAAACTAGATCGCGTGTTTGCTACCCTTTATGGTAAAATCAAGTGATTCTCATATTCTCGCATCAATGGTTGGGACAAAGTAGCCATTTTAAACGAGAGTGAGGGAAAAACCCTTTCAGATTGAAAGGCCCTCATTTAGCATTTTCAAGAGGTCTACGTTATGAGTGGAAACTGTCGTGATGATGATTCTCCTCTATGGAATTTGGTGATGCAAGCATTGTAAACCATTATGCATAAACCTCAATTGAATTGATGAAAAATGATCCTTGAAATTTACGTTCTAAAATAGCCTAGATTGTCTATCTCCTTGATGAATGCGTGCATATTTGTTATAATCAGGTCTGACATGTAATGTTTCCTTGAAGACCAAAGAATTCCTAACGTTTGAGTTGCTCTCTGAAGCTTCAAGATTTGTTCGAATGTTCTTGAATTTTCATATTGCCTAAATGCGAGAGACCTTCACGAATATTCGAGGTATGTTATCGAAATTCCAAAATTTCTTTTTACTAGTAGGTGAGAGACATTCACGAATATCTGAGGTGCATAATCGATATTCCAAAATTCCTTTTATTATAAATAGGTGAGAGACCTTCATGAATATCTAAGGTAAGTCGTAGATATTCTGAAATTTGTTTTAGGTGAGAGACCTTCATGAATATCTAAGGTATGTTCTAGATATTCCAAATGACCTTCACGAATATCCGATGTACGTCCTTGATATTCCAAGATTCCTTTATTTTACCAAGGAAGTGATAGACCTTCATGGATATCTAAGGTACATCCTTGCTATATCAAAATTTCTTCTACCAAGAGGTGAAAGACCTTCACAGATATCTAAGCTACGTCCTAGATATTTTGAAATTCCTTTTTATCAGGAGGTGAGAGACCATCCCGAATATTCAAGGTACGTCCTTGACATTCCAAATTTTCTAATACGTCTTTTATCGAAAGTAATGGACCTTCTCATGTATCTAAGGATTGCCAAGAAGTTATTTCCGTACCCCAAATTTACTTTCCTGAATCTTCGGGTAAGTAACTGCATGTATGTTTCTATCTTTGCATTAGCATTTGCATCTTTCATAATTTTTCATTACATTGCATTAGAAAATGGGTGTGGACACATTGAGATCCATTTTCCCCACAAAAAAATTCATTTTCATTGCGTTGCATTTGTATAGTCAAAATTTAGGTATCGTTTGTCTTTAAATAAAACATTTGCGAGCTCCCCTGTTTTTCCCTGTCTCGGCTGACCGTGGCCGAGACTCGCCGACGCTCGCTCTCCGTTGGTTTCCAGCGTCGGCGAGCCTTCCCCGTCGCGGTTGTGCACTTGCCTTGGTGTCGTGTTGTTTGTGGCTGTGTGTTTGAGCCTTAATCGGCTCGGTTTTTCCTTCCCGGCTGGCGCCTGCCACCTGTTCGACGAAATGCCCCAATGAAATCTGGTTTCGGTTTGTCCTTTTTGGCCAGGGTTGAGTCGTTCGGGCGTTGTCTTGTTTGGTCGAAACGCCCCGGCGGTGTTTAGCGTTTGTGGGTGTTGGCCGTTTGGTCCGGTCCCGCTATCGTCGTGATCTTTGCTCATGATTGGCCCGGTGGGAGGGCTGAGGCGACATCGGCCGGTGCTGGTCGAGAGCCCGGCCGAAAGTTAGACTCTCGGCCAAGGGTTGGCCCAGTGGTGAAGGGGCTCAGCGGAGCGACGGGTATCGAGGGTTGGCCACGTCGGGGCCGGGCGTGGAGTCGAGCGTGGCCGAGTGCGGCCGAGCTTCGGACGTGAAGAAGCCGAGCCGAGTCTCGGCCGACGACGGTGGCTGGCCAAGCGAGGTGGGCTTCTTGGCCTGAGCTGGCCGAGGTGACTCTGGACGGCGGCCGGACAAGAAGCCAGTCGAGAAGCTGGATTCTCGGCCGAGGCAACGCCGCGGCGTCGGGCGTCTGGGCGCGAGAGGAGTCGGGCCGGGCCGGGCCGGTGACGAGCCGGGTCGGAGCAGGGGACGCGCAGGGAGCTAGGGCCGGCCAGGGAGGTGTCGGGTCAGCCGGGTCGGGGGAGGAGCCGGACCGGGTACCCTTTTTCTTTCTTTTTGGGCTGGGCTGAGATAGGATTGGGCCGGGCTTGCTTTTTTAAAATAGAAAAGTGGGTTGGGCCTGTATTTTCTTTTTGTTTTTTTAGTTTGGCCAGTCCAGCGGTGGACCCGGGCCGGCGCACCCGGGTCGGACGTGGAGATCCGATACGGGTTCATTTTATTATATAATATAATATTATTATTTTATTACTTTATTATTTAAAAAATCAAAAAATTTAAAAACCGAAATTGGGCTGAGGAATTGTTTTTTCTTGCCATTTTTGTGTAATTAATGCCATGGTTGATTGCACGTAGTTTAGTTTGCATGTTTGAATTTCGTGTTTAATTCAACCTTACATGTAAACGATTAGAGGCATGTTGGGCTGTTGTTTGCACACTTATGATATATTGATTGTTGTTTCCTTAGCTTGGTTAGGATTACAATCCTAGGGTTAACAATTGATAGAAAGATTGCATGAGCCATTTTGATTGATCATTGAACAATGTTAGGTACTGAAAAGGTACTTGTTAAATGATTAATGTAATCAAGCTCCCAAACTCATTGAATCTCCAATTTGTAGGAGTGAGACGCTTCTGCCGTCTCTTTACTTGGATTTTTAATCGACCTACTCTAAATTAATTAGTGGTGACTCTTAGATAAAACTGATTATGTTAATAACTTGAACTTTAAATCGTGAGTTGGTATAGGTTTGCGAAAACTCAAGTTAAGTCCTAGATTTAGACTTAGCTGTCCATTAGCCTCAAACGTCTTGGCTTAGGCCAGTTTCAGGAGGTCGCGACAACATTCATACTGCTTTAAAAGATTAAGAAAATTACTGTGCTACCAATTATACTCCTCAAATTCCACCAATAATATCCAAAATTCCATATCTATACTATTCTATAAGACAGAGAGAGTCTCCTACTTTTAAGGGATGTTAATCATTTTTTTCCTTTCCTTGATGTCCTTAGTTTCTTATTTTACGGTTATTGTGTCCATGGATGAAAGCATAAATTCATAATTTTATTTTATCTCTCACGATTTTTCAATATTAGAAAATGGGTATTTCCATCTTACAATGATTTCAAACCTCAGAATAATTTTCTCCTTCCATACGTACAATTCTTGGTATTGCAGATCTTGGTCAATGATTTCTTCTTATTATCCAACGATTCAAACTTAATCTTTCAAATTTCAATTTCTTGCGTACACCAACTTGTACACATCTGCTAGAATTATAATAAGCTAAGGGAAAATGATACAAATGGTCCCTAAACTTTGGCCTAGCGTGCAATGTGATCGTTAAACTTTTAATTTGTTCGATATAGTCCTTGAACTTTAGCTTAATGTGTAATGTGATCAATAAACTTTTAATTATTCAATATGATCCATGAACTTTTGATACATGTTTAATCTAGTCTCTAAACTATATGGAGATGTTCAATGTTGTCCCTAAACTTGAATTAATGGAAGGATAATATTAAACATTTTCTTATGATTCAGGGATTAACTCAAACATGTATCAAAAGTCTTTAGATCAAATTGAACAAATTAAAAGTTCAAGGATCACATTGCAAATTGAGCTAAAGTTCAAGGACCACATTGTACAAATTAAAAATTCATTGACAACATTGCACATTAGGTCAAAGTTCATGGACTATTTATGTCATTATCCCATAAGCTAACAAAGAACAGGCGATCTTCAGGGGCTATCACTAAAAGCAGGCTTAAGAATGCTTCTCTGGTGACAGTTAATCGCCCTATCTCTCATTTTTCTGATCTTCGTCCTCTCCCTACAGAGCCCTGTTCTCCATACTCCGCTTCGGTTTGGTCTCTTAAAGTCGCGCAAAGAAGCTCGCCGAAAGAGATGGCACCTAGCCGTTGCTGTTCAGATACATGGGTTGGTTTATGATTCTTTCATCAAGCTTCAGGGACAGGCAAGGCGTCCCCAAAAGACATGACCTACAGACGGTCTGGGAGACCGTCCTAGCAGATGAGCAACAACACAAAAACGTGACAATGGTTGATTTGCCTTCGCGAATGAACCTAGTATCAACGTACACTCTCTCATTTCATTCCTTTTTCTTTTGGGGACCAGGATGCTTGTTTCATACTTGTCATTACTCGAGAGACAAAGTGAAGGTTGTTGTGAGTAATCATATCGTCATGTCCGCAAGCTTCGCGGATATTAAGTTTCGGAGCTCTAGTCTTTTTTCTATGCAACACAGGGAAATCACACATCCAACTCAAAAGAAGCGACGGAGTCTTGAAGTTTAATACACTATGCACAAATCAACGGAACTACAGGACGATAAGATAAGACCAGCTAGAACATAGCGTCCCATCCTTCAGCTGTCGCTTCCTTTAAGTTCGCATCTTATGAGCGAAAATTACTTCAAGAATATGATGCAAGAACAATTTTTATTCAGTAAAACAACAAATACACATGTTTCCCCTGCCTCTATCCGATACACAAGGAAGTCAGCCGGAGTTGTCGTCTACTTTACTGAAGCATACAAACACTTGCGAAACAACGTATACAGACACACATAGAAAGGGAAGAAATTTAATGTGACATCGAACTTGAACTCAATATGATGTACCGTGTTATAGGATTGACTGGATCCACGGGTCTGTTAGCAATGTTATGCTTCAAGATTTTCCATCATGAGCTCTTCCATTTTCCCGAAGCTTTTCTCTATATTGTCCAGCCTTTGATTCATCATTGCGATCCAATATGGCATGGCATCGCTAGGGTAGGGACTTACAGTGCCATTGAAGGTCGGAATAGGATATGCCGTGGGACCGGCCGGCCTTATTTTGCATGTAGTCTCCAGTTGCTTGACATAGTTATCCACCAAGTCGTCTAGCTTCCTACGCAGCTTGGAGTTCTCTTTTATTTGGTCTCCCAGGACCTGCAGGTTATAACTCACTACGAGAAACTCATTGGCGTTGCCGATCGGGTTGAATAAATGCAGGAACTGTCCATTTTGATCTAGATTTTGCGGAGTGCCTAGTCTCTTCCTTAGGTTCTGCAATTGGTTTTCCGTCATCTTGGCTTCAACCTGCAAAAAAGAATGTAGCCAGAGGTTGAAAGTTATCGCTGAATTCTATGATTAGAAAGATTTCATTTTTGCGAGACTCATGATCCTAAGAAAATCGCTGAAACATGGAAAGTACGAAGGTGAAGCAAGAGTACCTCAAGAACCATGGATACTTCAATAAGGACGGTCGGTGCTTGGTAGGCTTGGGAAGTGTGCTTTTAACATATAGATTGCCCCTTTATATAGATGTGAGCTATGGATGCGTTGTACATGATTCTTAGACAAGGATGGCCTATGAATATAGCAGCAGAGGGATTTCTGGAAGAATCTCGGCACTGTGCATTGGGGTATTTTTGTTATTTGTCCCCACATTTGGTTGTTCGTCCACAGAGGTTCTTTGAATTTGTTGGTTTTCATTCTCTAAAATTAAGAGGAAAGAATCACATTATTTTTATGCCGGCGACATCTTAAGCACTAGATTGGATTGCTCTTTGATAGTTGCTTCCAATGGTCTGGAGTATACAGTCTGCTTACACCATTAGAAATTAAGTCGACAAAGTCACTTACACTCAGTATACGCCAATTGTGGCTCTACTGAGATTTCAGACAGAAAGGTTTCTTGCATTAAGCCTCTCATTTGTGTTCGCGGTGGTCTGTTTATCATCGACCAGAAATCAAAACTTGGGTTCAGGTAAATAGTCTACTACTTCGACTCGCATTACAAGTTTAGGATCATTTAGAACAAGACACTGAGTGTCAAAGTGAAGCAAGCAAAAGAGATTGAGCTCTTTTGGCTGGAATTGATGACCACTTTAGCTGCTTTTCTAGGCAAAGAGTGAGGAGTGAGGGTAACACCTAGAATGGCATCTGAGGACAGGATGGTGAACAAAGGAAAGAGATAAAGGTAAAGGCATGGCATCGCAGATTACTTGTGCAACCAACATAAATACTGCAGATACTGTGAAAAAGTTGCGGATAGAGCTTTAGCATGACAAGGATGCGGGAACAACTAAAACAAGAGTGATGCAGTAATTCAACAAGTCTGATTCTGATCAATGAAAATTGTAACTGTGCCAGCGATAGAAAAATATCATTGGAGATCTACCAATAATCACATTTACTCTATTTCTTCACCTTTACTTGATACGATAATTCAACCTTTTTACTTTCCCCTAGCTTCAAGTAAAGCACAAATTGTGAGAAAACAAGGAGCTTCTTCACTAACTAGATGGTGATGCGTCCTTTTGCTTTTCAGTCAGTAATAGTCAAGATTCTTGCCGTGCGTTCTAGGCAGACATTTTGTTATCAGGAAGGTAAACCACCGAGGATGTTATGAGCCTTAGCTGCCTGATTTTGAGTCTTATACTCTTGTCTTCTAGGCATATGCAAATCCCTTACCACATCAATATAAGTAGGACCAGAGCATTTGAGAGAGCGCAACTAGCTTACAAAGGTAAGAGTCACTTCACTCTCTCTTCTGTTCACAGTGTCATACCTCCTCTTCATGGACATTGAGTCCGACATAGCGCTGTATTCTGTTCTCTTAAGTTTAATGTCTTCTTTTCCGTGATCCTTTCGAATGCAGAACACCTTACTGAGGACGAATAGTGCAAGAAGTTCCACCGTGAAAGATCATGGCTACCGAGAGGTACTTAGCGGCCATAAGAGGACAAGCAAACATACTGCCAAGGTTGGAGGAGAGCAACCTCAAGATGGTGCATATCAAGGAACCTCTTGTTGATTGGCGAGAATGGACGATATTGACATATAATCAAAATGTCCTGGGTAACTTATTGATAAGGGAAAATAAGCTTCTCCAGAAGAGAATTGATGAGTATGAGATGAAGCTTAAAATTCTCACTTCTCCTCCTCCTCCTCCTCCAACATATGCTGGTTGGCCTACTTGGAACACTAGCACACCGAGACCTCAAATAGTCGACCTTGATATTGCCGCGTCATCGAAAGAACACGAGCAATAAAAAGTTTATCTGCTAGAACCATCCACAGAAAATAAAATTTCCGAAAGTGCTTTTGGGTAATTATGAGTGCAAGTCTGCAATGGTGTAACAAATAAACTGAAGATAGCCGTGAACTTCTATTTGTGTGTGATGTGAGGGTGATGAAAGTGTGCTTCCTTAATGATGTAATCATGCATCTGTCTGCAATAAGAGTGTTTGTGTTATTGTTACTTCTTCGATCCTTCTAAGCTCCTCTCCTTTCTGGTGAATGAGTTCTTTCAAGCTGAACTTTTGCTCTACAATAGGACTTGAAACTGGCCTTGTGAATCCAATAATGCCTCTTTGAATCATTCTCCTCTGACAAGTCTTGTGATTTGTAAAGAAAATTTACGTTTTGTAAACAACATCAGCAGAAATAAGAGTGTGAACCTTGATCTAATGTTCCAGGGCAGATTACGATCAACAGAAGGTATACAAAGCAACACTACTGGAGAATTGATTGATATAACATACCAGAATTTACCACAATATAATGTCCTTGATAGATCGTTATCAAAGTTCACATCTTTAAGAAAGAATTATCTTGCTTAAATATGCGTGCATGAGCGCAATTTATATTTCTGATGAAAGCATAAATGTCACAAATCACATATCTCTCCTGCCTCAAGCAGATATGTATGGCAGACTTGTTCACTATTCTTGGGTAGGGACTACATGGAGGAGCCCCCACTCATCTCCTTTACTGAAGCACACACTTTACTTGGGGTGCAAATACACGAAGACACAATCCAATCTGGAAATCACAAAACGCAAACATTTTAACATGGGTTCCAGAATAGTACTTTGACGAGATGATGTGCAATTGTTATACCATTTTCTGATACCAAAACTCCACTGGTGTTTGATGGTTCACAGTTAATAATCTTCGTGGTCACAATTTTTCTCTTACGAGCTCTTCCAGTTTTTCAAATCTTTTCTCTAGCTCTTCCAACTTGCGACTCAATGTTGTGTGCCGACCCGGGTAACAAGGTTTGATCACGGAACCACAAGTCAAGGATTTACACAGCCACCAATGGGTGGATAAGCCCCGAGATCAGGAGGCCTTATCTTGCACAATACTTCCTGTCAACATAATTTTCCACCGCTTTGTCTAGCTTCTTAAGCAGTCTAGAATTTTCCTGTGTGTAATCTCCTAGGGCCTGCAGATTTTAAGTCAATACGCTCCACTGTGTACTACCGAGTACTTTGTACATGTCGCGACCTCCCGAAAGTGGGTCCCAGAGGGGGGCTGCTAGGATGTGCTAAGTCTAAACTAGGGACTTAACTTGGGCTCTCCCAAGCCCATATCACTTTGCAACTTAGAGTTTAAATTTTTAACATGCAATTCATTTTTATGTAGGAGTCGTCACTAATCAGTTTGGGGTGGGTCGATTAGATACCCGAGTAAGGGAATTGGAGAATTGTCTTACTTCTACAAACAAGAGATTTAGTGAGTCCGAGTACTTGGTTACACTAGTTAAATAACTAATACATTTTTGGTACCTTTTATCCTGTTCAATTCTGAAAACATTTATCATGCAGTTTGGATTAATTTCAAACCTATCCACTAACATGGGAAGTGATCAAGCAAGCGCGCAATCATTAAATTAACAACTGGCAATCGAAGTACATATGCAGTCTAGGGTTTTAATCCTACCTAAGGAGACGACATTCAACATATTAAAATCATGCAGTTAGAAAATAATCAAAATAACATACACAAATAACAACATGGCATTCATTTTTAGGACATTGAGAATCCTATGGTGTAGCCCTTCTTGTTCAATTTAAACACGATTTTTGATCAAATAATTTACATATTTTAGAAAATTATCCAAAAATACTAATTTCTAAATTAATCCCTAATATATTAATAAAATAAAAATAAAAAGAAGATAAAAGGATTTTTTTAATATTTAAAATACTAATATATTAATAAAATAAAAAAAAGGAGCTGGGTTGGGGCCGACCGGGTCTAATGCCGGACCGGGCCCGGTCTGATCGAAAATAAGTAAAAAACCCGGCCCGGTCAAGGAGCGCCTACAAACTGGTCTGATCGAGACTGCAGGCCCGGCTCGACCGGGTTCTCGAGACTGCCGGCTGGGCGAATTCCAGCGTCTGGCCGGGCGAATTCCAGCGTCTGGCCGGCCATCTTGCCCGGTCACTGGCCTCATCCTCCTCGACACTTCAAGCCGAGGAGGTCCTTGCTTGGCCGATTTAGCCTCGACCGGGGCCCTTCGAGCCCAAACGTCGATCGAGGCTTGACCGGCTGACCCAGGCCAACCTTTGGCCATCCCTGGCCTCCGGTGACCACTGCGAGGCCACCCCAGGCCTCTCAGCTCCCCAATCGACTTCGAGATTGTCGGCCGATAACCAAAACAAACGAGCCTCTCTTGGGCATTTCATCGAATACCTGGCGTGCACAACCAAAACTGAGGCTCTCCGACCTTTCTCGGGACTCAGGCTTGCTCCGACAGCCAGGACTCACCCTTGAATGCGATGTTTGGTCCGGGAGTAGGGTTGGTATGGGTTGGGATTCGCGCGAAACAGACGGCACGAATATCGGCCAACCTGCACACAAAAACATAGGCGAAAAGGGGCTGAGAAGGACTCACTGGCTAAGGCTGCATCTGGGGGGTCGCCGGTCGACTTGCAGGCGACGGCGAGGCTGGTTGGCTTCCCCTCTTGCTCTATACCTGCTGAAATCTCACTCTTTCTCTCTTTTTCTCTCTTGCTGGCCGACCTTCTCTCGCTCTCCTCTCTTCCCTTTTTATACTGGCCAGCGGCCATTTGGGCGCCCTCTATCGCTCATGCTATGCTCTCTTTGCTCTTCATGCCTAGCCGCGCAATTTCCCTTGGCTGTCTGGCGACCGCCTCTGTCGCTCGGCTGTGGTTCAGCCACAGCGACAGGGGAGGAAAGAAAGGGGGGGAAGAGGGAGAGAGGGGACCGGCTGGGCCTGGCTCGCACGAGAAAAACGAAAAAGAAAAAAGGGGAAAGGGCCGGGCCTCGGGGAAAAAAGATTGGGCCTGGTCGACCTGGCCTCGGACAGGCCGGATCAGAAATTTTTTTAATTTTAAAATTTTTAAAATAAAAATATGTTTTAATTAATCCTATTAATGCAAATGTGCCTAATGTCTACATGCCATGTAATCAAATAGAAAATATTTTTGTTTACGAGTTATAAATTTAACTCCTAATTTTTGTATAATAATTTTAATTAGGTAATTAAAATTTAGATGTTAACAATAAATATGCAGCAGCAACCATCCATTTTGATCTAAATCTAGAGTCGGGCCTACTCTCATCCTTATATCCTGCAGCTGGTGATCAGTCATCTTGACTTCAACCTGTAAAAAGTTTGCAAACATGAATCCAAGTGCTTTTTGACCGGATTAGTATGTCACTGAGACCTGTGATAATTAGAAAAATGAAGGTACTCTACGAGCACCTAAAGAACTTCGGTGTCCTAATAAGGCTGGTGCTCAGTGGAGACCTGCGTTTGCGATGGAGCTTGCTCTATATAGATGCGACTGTTGGTGCAATGCACTACACGTGATTATCAAAACAAAAAGAATGCCGTATAAACACAGCAGTGTTCAACCAAAAAAAAAAACACACGCAGCAGTGGGGAAGCCTACTCAGCTTTTAAAACCGAAGGATAGGGGATTGGAGTTCTTGGGTTTCAGTTCTTGTTGATTGTTTATGGTTTCATGCGTTTGTTGCTGTGTCCGCCACTGGCTATAGTGCCTTGGTTTTAATCACACTATTTAGCATGGAAGATATCAAATGCTCTAACAAAAAGAAGAGGGGATCTTTTCACTGAACGATGCTTCTAACACCCCTTCATTTGCATGAGTTACTATAAAAGCTGGAGCCAATCCGGCTGTTCTGGCAGGTATGGGGACGGTCATCTTAACTGGGAGATTTGATAAACCTTTGTTCAATTCAAGGACATCTTTATCACATTTTTTTTTCTCAATCTGTGCATGCTTACTTTGTCATTCAGGTTGTTGGTACAGATAAGACTTTTGTTTGGGCTGAGTAGTGAGAATAGAACAAACGCCTCATGACGAGGAAAAAAATTTGGGAAAGTTTGGATGCTTAGTCGGATGGTCGAGACTTACATCTTGTGTTCAGGTACATGCAAGTCCGATGATGCACAAATTTACAAGATGGATCATAGATCATGGATCAACCTCCACACCACAGATCAAAGAAGTCCTTGTACGATTATTTATGAGGTGATCGCAGTACTAGCTAGAGAGAGCTCCTAGCCAGCAAAGGTAGGATTCTTGACTTTATTCAAACAGTGTTAGTTATTTATGTTGAATTTTGATGAGTATTCCCTTTTCCTTGATCATTTCCAAATGCAGAACGTGTTGACAAGATGAATAATGAGAGAAGATTGACCGTGAAACATCATGGCTAAAAAGAGGTACTATGAGGACATAATAGCACAAGCACGCATGTCAACCAAAGTAGGATGAGAACAAGCTTAAGTTACTGCACATGAAAGAATTGGCGAGAGTTTGTGATACCGTCGCATGATCAGAAAGTCCTGGCAAACTTATTGATAAGGGAAAATAAGCTTCTGAAGAAGAAATCGACAAATATCAGAAAAAGCGTAAGTTGCTCACTCTTCCTCCTCTTCTGTATGCCGATTGGCCTACTATTGATGTTATCGCATCCTCACAAGGGCTAACTGGAGAGGAAGATTAAACAGAGGAAAGTAATTATGGTGAAGGTGAATAGCTAGGAAGTCGCTAATTATTTAAAAAACAGCGAGAAGCAATTAATTCATGAAGAGCGTGAAGGTCTACCTCTTGACGGAGCAATCTTTATCTGCGCCGAGAAAAAACAACAGAGAGGATGAAATTGCATTTTCATGAGTCAAAGTTAGTCCATTGGGATTATTATGTGTGCGAGTATGTGATATACTTGAGAAAAAATCGAAGACAGCTGAGAGCTTCTCCTCATTGTGCCACGGCAGTGATTAAAGTGTGCATATATGATCATGTAATTTCATGTTTGTGGCGTTTAGCTATGATTTTCCAACTCCTAAAGTCTTCTCTTGATTAAGTGTATAAATTCTTTTTGGTGAACCTTTTTTCTCTATGAAGGACACGATTAGAGATCCTAAGAAAAAATGGCCCCTATGGTGCCTCGCTGAATCTGAGGGAAACTGTGAATTATTTTTGATGACTTGAGAATTGTTGAGAGAACATCAGAACATCCCCCTGAATTTCGATGATTACCAATATGTCTTTGGTACTGTTGTTTTTTTTTTCAAAGAACAGAAGGAGAATTGACAGCAAAAGCTGTCTTTTTTGCAGCAAAACTGTATTATGCAACAAGACAGAATGTATCGGAAGGGAACTTCTCTTCTTTATTCAGAAAACTGAAATTGCTTAAATACAGACTAAAGCTTTTCCATAAACACACGTTGCCCACTAACTAACAGCTTGCTTGGTCCACAAAACCAGCAACAATCTAACAGAACAATCAAAGAACATGCAGCTAAACACTCCTACAAAATAGAACTGACCAAGTAAAAACAACGACTAATTAACTCCTAGAAAACAGAACATCAGCAAACTGACTTAACAGAAAATAGATAGTGCAGCCTTGATACATCAACGCTCTCCTCCTGGATCAAGTGCTGCACACTCCTAGCTTTGCCCTGAGAAGTTCAAATCGACCAACATGAAATAACTTAGTGAATATATTTGCAATTTGGTTTTCTAAACTACAGTACACTAGCTTCACCTCTCCAGCCTTCTGCACTTCTCTCAAGAAGTACTACCTGACCTTAAAATGCTTTGCTCTTCCATGAAATACTGGATTCTGTGAAATGGCCAGAGTAGCTTGATTATCCACAAATACTTCTATGCCTTCTTCTTGCTCCAAATGCAGATCATTCATCAGCTTCTTTAACTATAATGCTTGATTCACAGCTGTAGTAGCTGCAATGAACTCAGCTTCCGCAGTTGATTGAGTCACTATTTCCTGCTTCTTTGAACACCAGGAAAAACATGCCGACCCAAATGCAAAGCAATAACCTAAAGTGCTCCTCATATTATCTACTGATCCTGCCCAACCACTGTCAGAATACCCCTGCAACTTAAACTCCTGAATTTTGCAGAACTTAATTCCATATGAAAGGGTACCTTTCAAGTACCTCAACACCCTCTTTGCAGCTACCATATGCAACTCACTTGCACAATTAAGGAATCTAGACAAGACACTTACAATAAACATGATGTCTGGCCTAGTTGCAATGAGATACATAACACAGCCAATCAAACTTCTACAAACTCTTTCATCTACAGGTTCTGATCCATCCTTCTTTTGAAGCTTTTCCTTCTGACCCATTGGAGTACTCACACTCTTGCACTCCTCCATGTTGAATCTCTTTAAGATCTCCTTCAAGTACTTCTTCTAACAGATAAAAACTTCATTCTGAGTCTACCTAACCTCTATCCCTATAAAATACGACATCTCACCAAGATCAGTCAGTTCAAACATCTTCATCATCTCTTGCTTAAATGCAGTAATATAAGCACTATTACTCCCTGTCACTAGCATAACATCCACATAAAGAGACACCACCACTAAGTCAGATACTAACTTCTTGACATATAGAGTGGATTCACTGAGGCTTTTCTTGAAACCCAGGCCCAGCAAGTGCTCATCCATCTTACTGTACCATGCTTTGGGAGCTTGCCTCAAGCCATAGAGAGCCTTTCTCAGCAAATAAACTTTCTCCTCCTGGCCTGGTGTGACAAAGCCTTTTGGCTGCTCAACATAAATCTCCTCCTGTAACACTCCATTCAAAAATGCAAATTTCACATCTAACTGATACACCTTCCATCCTTGTTGAGCTGCCAAAGCAAGAGTCATTCTAATTGTATCCAGTCTTGTCACAGGAGCAAAGGTTTCTGAGAAATCAACTCCCCAAACCTGTGCATATCCCTTCACCACCAACCTGGCCTTATTCTTATTCACTGAGCTATCAGGATTGAGTTTGGTCCTGAAAACCCATTTTACTCCAATCACCTTCTTGTCTTTAGGCCTCTCCACTAGCTCCCATGTCTGGTTCTTTTCTATCATAGCCAACTCTTCCTTCATTGGATTCATCCACCTCTGATCACTTATAACTTCCTCATAACCTGCAGGTTCCAAAACAGCCACACTGTATCCCTAATATATATCGGTCAGAGATTTGGTACCTCTAACTGGAACATCATCCACCAGCTCGTCAGGTTCTAGTGAGACCTCCTTGTGCTTGCCTTGTGGCTCATATGTCCAGTCCCATTGCTCATCTTCCAGGAACTGAACATTCCTACTAGTGATCACCTTCCCTATCTGTGGTTGATAGATCCTATAGGCTTTTGACACTAAACTGTAGCCAACAAAGATCCCAGGTTTAGCTTTCTTTCCCAGCTTGTCTCTCTTGACCAGTGGAATATGACAAAAAACACAGACAACCAAACACCTTCAAATTTCTTAGAATTGGCTTGACACCAAACCAAGCTTCAAAGGGTGTCTTCTTCTCTAATACCCTTGTAGGCAATCTATTTAGCAGAAAAATTGATGTGTTTGCTGCTTCTGCCCAAAATTCTTTTGGTAGATTCTTCTCATGCAGCAAACACCTAGTCATCTCCATAATGGTTCTATTCTTCCTCTCACTAACTCCATTTTGTTGTGGAGAGGAAGGAGCAGTAAGCTGATGCTTAATTCCAGCCTCTTCACAGAAAAAGTTAAACCTCTGTGAAGTGTATTCTGTTCCATTATCAGATCTGATGACCTGAATCTTACAGCCACTTTGGTTCTCAACCCATCTCTTAAACTTCAGAAATACCTCAGCAACTTCTGACTTTTGCTTCATGAAGTAAATCTAGCACATTCTAGTATAATCATCAATGAAAATAATGAAATACCTGCTATCATTTAGTGAAGGAGTCACTTGTGGACCACAGACATCTGTATGAATCAGCTGCAGCTTCTCTATAGCTCTACAAGTGGATTCCTTGAAGGGAAGTCTTGTCTGCTTGCCCAGCAAACAAGCCTTGCACCTTGTGATCTGCTCCTCCAGGCTTGGTAACCCAGTTGCCATTTCATTCCTCTGCATGAACAACAAGCCTTTGTGATGAAAGTGCCCCAACCTCTTGTGCCATATCTCTTAATCACTGGCCTGACACTTGAATGCCACCTGCTCCTCCTCGAGAGGATTCAGAGAAAAACTCTTCTGTTGCATCTTTATCTTGAACAGCTCTTGACCACTGGAGTCAAAGATCAAACACTTTCCCTCTTCAAATATCACCTTAAATCCCTTTTCTACCAACTGCCCCACAGTCAGCAAATTCTGATCAATCTCAGGCACATACATCACATCAGAAACCAGCTTAGTTTGAGCACAACTCTCTATTGCTACAGTCCCTTTACCTTTCACTTCTAAGTACTCCCCATTCCCAATCCTCACTCTTGACTTCAATGACTTGTCAAGGTCTATAAATAGCTTTTCATCACTTGTCATGTGGTTTGTGCAACCACTATCAACAAGCCGACTGTCACATGGAGTACTAGAGGACAAACAAGAGGCAACAAACAGTTGATCTACCTCTTGCTGGACTGCAGCATATGCCTCACCTTGCTACTGATCTCCTTTCTCTTTGCAGAACTTCTCAATGTGTCCAAGCTTATGACATTTTCTGCACCTTACATCTGGCCTCTTCCAACACCTAAAGTGTGGATGATTCTATTTTCCATAGTGCTGACATGAGGAATACCTTCTCCAATTGTTCTTGGAGTTGCCTGCACTGTTCTCTCCTGCAGCAGCTTCCGAACCACTACTGTCATTCCCTTTCTTCCCTTTCCACTTCTTGCCTTTCCCTCCTACATTATGCTGTTCTTTGGCCTACAAAGCTCCTTCTGTACTTCCTTCCAGCCTCATTAACCGCCTCTGCGCTTGTGCTTGCAGAGCACTTAGCAATTCTGCCAACTTGATCTGAGATAAATCCTTGGTATTCTCCAAAGAGGCAATGGTTGCCTCAAACCTTTCGGGCAAGGAGACAAGAATCTTCTGCACTAGCCTATTATCAGAGAGGTCAATGCCTAGAACTCTTGCCTGATTTGTAATGCTTATCAACTTATCATAATACTCCTTAATTGTCTCAGACTCCTTCATCTGCAGTCTCTCGAATTCTGTGATCAGATTTAGCCCCTTCATGCTTCTGATCCTCTCATCTCCTTGATACTCAGCTTTGAGGAAGTCCCAGATAGCTTTGGCTGATTCACAAGCCATAATTCTGCTGAAAATGGCAGGTGAGACAGTAGCATATAAACAAAACTTTGCCTTTGCTTTCCATGTTGTTCTCTCCTTGTGATACTTGATCTAATTAATGGTTGGATTGTCAGGAAGGGGAGCAACTTCATAATCTTGTTCCACAGCTTCCCAAAAATCACAACCCTCTAGATAGGCTCACATTCTCACTGCCTAGGCTTGATAATTTTCTCCATCAAACACTGGTGGAGCCATTGCTGAAAAACCACTCGATCCTGCCTCCATCTTGCCTTCGGCTTCTATGGATGCAGACACACCTCTCAATCAATCTCATAAGTCACTCACAACCCCTTAAGATCAAGAAGGCTCTGATATCAATGTTGTTTTTTTTCAAAGAACAGAAGGAGAATTGACAGCAAAAGCTGTATTTTTTGCAGCAAAACTGTATTATGCAACAAGACAAAATGTATTGAAAGGGAACTTCTCTTCTTTATTCAAAAAACTAAAATTGCTTAAATACAGACTAAAGCTTTTTCATAAACACACGTTGCCCACTAACTAAGAGCTTGCTTGGTCCACAAAACCAGCAACAAACTAACAGAACAGTCAAAGAACATGCAGATAAACACTCCTACAAAATAGGACTGACCAAGTAAAAATAACGACTAATTAACTCCTAGAAAACAGGACATCAGCAAACTGACTTAACAGAAAATAGATAGTGCAGCCTTAATACATCAACAGGTACTAAAGTTTATCAAGATGTATGCAGATGGAAACTTTATGTCTCAAATGTCATTGGTTCTTTCGCTCCAGCAAAGGCGAGAATCAAAGGCCGTAACTGTTGAGGTGAACAAGCATCAACGAGAATGGTATCTCGTGGTTGCTTGGAGGTACTTTTGTTAAGCCAAGTATTCTTGGAAGTCGTTGGCACTGATGGAAGTGAAAGGATCGGTGGTCCTTTCAAAACGCGTCACCTTGGTCAATATCGTCATTGAAGATCGTCACTCAAGTCACTCACAATCTCCACCTGCTGATGGTGAAGTATCGGATCGCGATGGTTGATGTATTGGCTCTGATGACGGTGAGATAGACGTACAAAAGATAACCGTTTGGACTCCGCATCTGAAAAACTTGAAAAGGTCTCAAAAAAGCAGTTGACGGGATGTTTGCTTCAAAGATAAGACAGATGCAGCAGAAGCCATTTTGGGAAACCTGCGTCAGTCAGAGGTGCAGGAGCAATCCCAATTTTGGCAAAGAACTCCAATGACGCTCAAATGGCTAGCTGATTGTCCTTAAAGGTCTCAAATGGGAAGATTAAATACTTTTATATATAAGGGGTAGTGAAGCTGTGAAAAGGGTTAGACACGAGAAATACTGCAACTGCAATTGCATCTCTGATCTTGTTCTGAATACCTCTCTGTAGTGATTTAAGCACCGCAATAACATCTAGACAAGTGTACAAGTGTGAATGCAAGTGATTGTGTCCTGATAGTGTGATCTATCGTGTAAAGGGAACAACACTAGCTATTTGTAACTTGCATTGCTGATTACTAGTGGAATTAGCTGCTGTTTGGGCTGTTAGTTGGAGAGTGAATGTAGGCTTGGATATAAAACCGAACTACTATAAATCTATTTACTTAACTCTGATTTACTTATCAGTATCACACGCTGATTTACCCCTATCACTATCTTGAGTGCTGATTGTTTGGTATTTAGCAAAAGTTTTCAAAGTCTTCACTCAACCTATTCAACCCTCCTTTTAGGTTGTTGTGTTAACCTCAACATGAATAATGGGACTGGTACTATAGTGGAAGATAGCAATTCAGTGTTTGAGGAAGTTAATAGGAGTCAAGATACTGTTGCATCGGCAGTATATCTGTCAAAAGAGAGGCTAATGGTTTGGACCATGAAGCTTGGAACGACTGGGGGAAAGATTTCCTGCTGTGAAAGCCATTGGGCTATCGTGTTACAAAGCAAAAGGTTTGGAAAAAATACATTTCAGCACAATAGACGTGATTGAGAAAAGAATTTCTCATACAGGAATTGCCTTCGACAGACAAAGTTAAGATCACGTGAGAAGTTAGTTGCATTGAAACTTCGTAATTTTGTCAATAAGAAATTCATAGATTCTCCAATGTCGTATGGTCGAGTGACATGGTGAGAGAGCACAAACTTTCTTGTAGTCATGGAGTCGATGTTTCTTCTTTAATTCCTGCAGAAATGGTCTTTCTGTGATCTTATACAATGCGGTAGAGAAAGTTAATCCTGTTCTGTAGAATGTGCAGGATCTACATTATTTTCATGAGGACTCCTGTGCATATCCATGTGCTTGTAATTACTGTGATACACTCAAGTCTATTGGATAACAATAATGAATCAGAAGGTAAAAAACACCAAGAAAATGACAAGCTCTACGTGAAATCTTACATAATTGCATGAACACAATTTTTATTCGGATGAAAGCATAAAGATCACAAACACACATATTTCTACTGCCCCAAGCAGCCAGAGAGTGAGTTGTTTGCGTTTCTTGGAAAAAAAAAATATGCCTAAAAGCACATATATCTCTGCAAATCAATTTTCCATATCATGAATAATCTTTTACAACTTAAATCTGTTGCAAAAAAAAAAATACTTGGGTTATATCATAATCATTGCACTTTTTTTACTAGATTTATTACTGATAAAAACGATAGATTTATCACCAAAGGTCATTTTTTGAATAACAAAAAAAAGAAAAGAAAAGAGTCTCTATTTTCGAATAACATCATCAACTTTTTTCTCTTTTTTTTTTTGGCCAAGCAAGTTAATTTCGAACAATGTCCATAACACTTATTATTTCTCATCATTCTTATCTAATAATCATATAAATAAATTCAAACAGAAATGGGGGAAAATAGGGCACGTAAATTTTTTTATTTTTCCGATTTTTTGTATAAGGTTACGATTTACATGAGAAGATTGTGATGATAAATATGATTTTCTTTTTCTATTTTTTGAATTTGGGCAGACATATGAGTGATGAGCGAGGCGGTGGTAAACATAAAGAAGATTTTGAAGATAACTAACGTGCAATTTAAATCTTAATGGAGATGCTCACGTGTTCTTGCTCCTCAGGTTGACAATGGCGAGGCGGATCTCCAACTGGATTGCCGTCGCTACATGATCGTGTTGGCGGGGGTCATCTTCTTCATCAGGCCCCTCCTCATGGGCTCGTCCCCAACTATGCCTCTTTCTTGTTGGACCGCTTCACCAATGTCGGCATCGGCTCCACCTCATGATCGTTGTCTACATCGTCGAGGTCTTCCCTGCCTTCTCCCATGGCTTCCTCACCTCCTTACCAAAGGTACTCACTCATTTTCTTTTCTTTTTTTTTTCTAATTTTGTAGCATCTTTTTCATTTTTTTTATTTGTCATCAATTTTATCTTTTTCATGTTGAATGTGCATTCTTCTTGTTACAAGGAAAAATTTAAAGTTAGAAAGGTGATTACTTTTTTATACATCATAGTATATTTCTCATTTAAAAAATGTGCTGCCAAAAAAATTTTTACCAACATATTTTCAAAATGAGAAATCTACTATGACTTATTAAAAAAGAATCACCCTTCAAACTTTAAGTTTTCGCATAACAAAGAGAATGCATGTTCTATAAGAAAATGACAAAAATTGATGACAAATAAAAAAATAAAAAAGATGCTACAAAATTAGGAAAAAAAAGAAAAAGAAAAAGAGTGAGTACCTCAAGAGGAAGCCTCAGGAAAGCTACGAAGGCCTCACCGATGTAGACAGCAATCATGAGAGCGTAGTTGATGCTAACACAAGCGAACGACCCAATAGAAAGGAGGCATGTTGGGAGTGAAGCCCATGAGGAGGGCATGGTGAAAAGATGGCCCCGCTAACACTATCATGTAGCGGTGGCCGATTCAGTTGGGGGTCCGCCTTGCCATCGCCGACCCGAGGAGTGAGAACACGTTGAGCATGCCCATCACGACTTAACCTACATGTTGGCTATCTTCATATCCTTCTTTATGTATACCATTCCCCACTAATCACTCCAATGTCTACCCAATGTATAAAAAAAAAAATCTTATTTATCATCCCAATATTCCCATGTAAATCGTAACCATACACAAGAAATTGAAAAAAAAATATTAAGTGCACTATTTTCCTCCCTTTTTCTTTGAATTTATATTCCTAACTTATATAATTAAAAGATAATAACAATAAGATATAATAAGTGCCGTGGACTTTATCCGAAATTAACTTGCCTAACTAAATAGAAAGAGAAACAGACCAAAAAAAAAACTAAATAGAAAGAGAAATGATGTTATCCGAAAAGAACTGTTCCTTTTTTTTTCTTTTTTTGCATTTCCTATACATTAAAAAGATGACCATTGGTGATGGATCTATCATTTTTATCAATAATAAAATTAGACAAAAAATGCAATGACTAAGATATAACCTAATTATTATTTTTTTTGCAATGCAACTAAGTTGCAAAAGATTGATTCACATGGGTGTATGTGCTTTTGAGTGCATTTGGTTCAACTTTATCAAGGAATTGGGTTTTTTGTTTGTTTAGAGAGAGAGAGAGAGAGAGAGAGAGAGAGAGAGAGAGCATTGACTACAATCGAGCAAAATGGAGGTCATGGAGGCCACAATAGCACAGGCGAAGGCATACTTGTTACGGCATGGCTTTGTCGGAGACTTGGGTATACTAGTTATATAGTTTGTCTCATTGATTATCAACTAAGTTTCACATGCGTACCTTTTATCCAATTATGAGCCCCATGTTCTTATTGCTAAGTGTCCATGCAATATTTTTATTAGGACTATGATCTTCATGTGTGACCACTAGGCAAAAATGACATAATCGAATCACAATCAAGGGAAACAGCATAAATGAATCGAAACCAACAAATCAAAGGCAGTTATAAAAGGAAAGTAAAAAATAAATTGCATAAAATAACTTGATGCGATGTCGGGTAAAGTATATGACAAGGCCTTCTATCAATAA